AGTACGGCAACTGCACGTGCATCCATGTTTAACGCTTCTCATTGCTATGTGAAAATAAGTGTATAATTGTAACAGTTCCTTGTTGGAGCTGAGTTGAATGAGAGAGAGAGGGAGAGAGAGAGAGAGAGAGAGAGAGAGATGCAGAGCATGTGCAAAGCAGGGGGACGCGAGGAACAGTATTGAGAACCGCTGCTTTAGAACATTGATTTTGAAACTTGTGAATCCATTAGAATCGTTAGAAGACAGAATCGCGATTCATATATGAATAGATTTTTACGTGCACCTCTAGTTTTCTCTTCCTCTTCTCTAAAGCAGCACAGCATGGCCTCGCCCCCTTTGTTGCCTTTTCCCGAGGGTGGAGTTTATCTGGGTTTGTTATGTCACAAACCCAGGAAGTAACTTCTTGTAGTCCCTACCAGCCGTTTCTGTAGGCACTAAACTGCCAGAATTTTAAAAGACAATATCTCCGTTTGAATTAAACTTTCAGCTTCGTAAATTTTCAGATATTGTTTATGCTCAAACAGCAACATTACAAACTAACTAACGTTAAAAAAAGTGAAATCGCAATGAACCACCCCTTTAATATATTGAATTAATTTGGTAAAAAATAGAAATTATATATATATATATATATATATATATATTTTTTTTTTTCCCCACACATTTTCACAATTCACAACGTATGCACATTTTTTTTGACACAATAACTTAAAATAAATTGTTTCTATATATACTGTATATATATATAATCAACAACTTTCTCCACTGTTTTTAATTTATGTCATTCACAGTGGTTCATGGTATCATAAGGGCCTTTCGCACCGCTTTAGTTCCAGAACTAAATGTACAGTACAAAAGTACTGGGACGATTTTGCGCGAACTATTTCCCAGTACCATTTAAAGGGTTGCATTCGCACCGACAGTGTGTACTAGGAAGTGACGTAAGCCGGTCGACAGCGACGTCATTTGTGCGCGGCGTTCAACAACAGAAACAAAGAAGAACAATGTTAACAACAGGAGGATGGAGGATGCTGTGTTTTTGTTGTGTCTCGTGGGTTTCACAACAATGGACATGGAATGTCGACGTATACGTAAAGCGATTGAAAGAACGGAAAGGAGGACTAAGAATCTCCAACGACAACTGGCAGTGCTACATTTGCTACAAGTGCCTGCACTTCAGCGTCCGTCCATCTATCGCTGTTCTCCATACTTGCGAAATATGTTGACACAATGTTTACAGTATGTTTACAAAGTGTTTTACTCTGCTCCAGAGTATGAGCTAATTTGGTTCTCGAAAAAGGCAGTCCGGTACTAAAATCGCACCCAGTTCCGGCGGTGCAAAAACACCAAAAAGTAGGTAGTTCCACAATTAGTTCTGGTACTATGAAAAGATTCCTGCGGTGCAAAAGGCCCTATAGTTATCAAACATGAAATAAACATTGGTTAAGATATTATTTTCAACTGGGGAAGGCTTAGGACCGAGAAATGTTCGTCCAATTAAACCGCTCGGTCTGAGCGTTTTAATTGGCTTTCCTACCTGTCAACGTATGTATCTGCATACCTCTGCGCAACCTGTTTGTGCAGACAGGATACGTCATCAGCGCGTTCGCGCATGCTGTGCAGACAGAGCGAGAATAGCAGACAAACATCAACAACCCGATCTTCCTTCCTGGTATTGTAGTACTTTTAAAGTTTTCTCACCGGTGAATGACACATGATGTAGCCCAGCAGTTCCCAGTTCCAGTTCTCACGATTCAGATAACCAGCTCGTTAGAAGTGAGCTACGTGCATGAAACTGTGTTCCGATCGATATGATTCCTACACAGTGTTCATTGCTCCCTCCTCCCTGAGCAGGGGAAATCTGTTGAAGTTTACTTCACTTCGGAACATGGGCTGGAATTGGGAACCGCTGATGTAGCCTATTGTAATGTTGTCTCTGGTATTGTGGTCTGTGAGCGTATATGCATTCAGGGTTGTGGCTTTGACGTTCGCGTTCAGTGCTATCAGGCTTAAGTTAGCACTATCCAAGATTTCCTACTGCACCTTTAAGTGCTTTATCTTTTTGTCCAATTAAAAAAAAAAAAAAAAGACTTTAAAATCCCCATGGGAAAAATGAATGGGAAAAAATACTTTAGGAACCAGTGCTGCTATAAAAAAAGGGGGTTCATGGGCACTGTTACACTCTATAACATGCAAAGTTTCTTGTCATAAGTAATAGTAGAGAGCAGCGTAATAATAACGATCATTGCAGTAACGTTTATTGATTTTAGACCCCAGTCAACATGCTTTAGTTGTCTGTAAGGCAAGATGCTGATGGTAAGCACAAACAGGCTGTAAATAAGTCTCAGACAGCGCAACACAAGCCCCACAAAACAGTCTCTGGTCAATATCCCATTCAAAACATCCCCAAAAACAAAGCTCCACAGAGTTAGTGTGCAGAGTAACAACTTATAATTAATACACAATTAGTCTTAAAGTGGGTCGATTAACATCAAGGTTGTTAGAGATACTTTTGAAAATCTTTTAAGCCTTATGTCAGTCATTCTGAATATTCTGAGATCTCTTTTGTGTAAGGCACAGTTCATATTAAGCAACTGTCAATAAACTCAAAATGTTGTGTTTTTATTTTTAAGGGCAGGGTGGCTTTAACCATTGATTAGACTTCAAGTTGAATATTTTCTAATTCCTGTTTTTTAGAGAAGTAATAAGCCATGCCTCTCTGTTGTGAGATAAAGAACATACTATATTTCCAGACCAATTTATGCAACAAATTAAAGTGCCCCTATAATGCAATTTCAAATTGCCATTCATGCAAGTGTGTAATGTAGCTGTATGTGAATGTAAATGATCTGCAAAGTGGTAAAGCTGAAAGTGCACGATAAAGTCATTGTCTCCTAAAAGGAAAGAATTGACTCTGAACAGCCTAAACGAGTCGTCAGTTTTCAAACCCCACTTCTGTGACTGCTACATGTCACGGGGGAACACATTTGCATAATGCCCGCCTATGTTCTACATTGGCCGGCCGCGAACAACTTGACCCGCCTCAAACACTGTAGCTTGTTGCTAACATCATGTTGAGAAGACGCTGTGTCCTACACTGTGAAAGTAAATTCTTTTTATTTTCACTTCTGAAAGAGGAGTGGTTATCAGTGGTTAAAATTCACAGCAGTACAACCCAAAGCTTTTTTTGCGTTCCCGTCATTTTACTGACGACAGCTTCTCTAATCTTGGAGTGTTTACAAAATGTTTGCTCTTGAAAGATGGCTCAGTATTGTCACGAATCCGGTCCATGAACTTTCATCTGCTAGCCATCAGAGGTCACCCTTTCCTATTGCATTGACTCTCGCACAACACTCTGTTGCACATCACCCCGGACTACATTTCCCATCATGCATTGCACTGATTGGACTCAGCACGGATTGCACACAGCTGTTTACACTGATAGCATATAATTTCAGACACATGCAGTGTGCGGTAGACCAATCACAGCAGACTGAACCATCTGACCAGTCAGAGCAGGGTAGACTCACGGAAAGGAGGGGTTTAAAGAGACTAAATCTTAGATTTTTGACCTTACATGCATGTTAACCTATTATAGGAGACTCCCAAACCTTAAAAATGGCATAATAGGGGCACTTTAAGGTAAATCCACATGTTTTCCTGATGGAAGGCGATTAAAACAATATCTACCAAAAGGTGTAATAAAGGTAGTGAGTGGAGTTGAATCTCTGTGCAATGGGATCTGCCAAAATCCAGCAGTAGCATCCAGTTTGGAGAATACTGTTGCACCTGCCAGTTTAGCCAGTGTTTCATCCACGGCAGGGAGCATGAATCTCTCTCTGCAAACATTTTCATTCAACCGTGTAAGATCCACACAGATACGGACTTTGTCATTTGGTTTAGGTACAATGACCATACCGGAGCACCATTCAGTTGCTTCTTCAATTGGTGCGATTTACTCCTAAGTCTTTCATTCTTTTCAGCTCCTCTTTCACCTTTTTCATCATGGGCAAGGGCACCCGACGGGGCACCGACAGAGCAAAGGGAGTGGCTGATTCTTTGAGTTTGATTCTTATAATCTCCCTCCAGTTTCCCTAATCCTGTCAAACCTTTTGGGTATAGTTCTCTGTAATTTGGCTCTGATGTGTTAATTGTGTCGACTGTGTGGAGTAAACCCAGCTCTCTGATGGCTGTTAAACCCAGTAGTGGAGAAACCAGTCTTGGTATCACAAACACCATGTGTTTTATCCAAGTACTGTAATGAACCCTCAAATTGCTCGCTCCCGTTTATTGGCGTGTTGCTTGGTCCACACAACTTCTTCGTTGCAGGGCTGAGGATCCCATGACTCCTTTCTAAGTACATGCTTTCTGGAATGGCTGTCACTGCCGCTCCTGTGTCTAATTTGAAAAGGATCTGTTCCCCATTCACAGCAACAGTCTTTTGCCACACATCATTTTGAATTCACAGACTCAATGCTCTCTGTCCCCTCGTCCTGATATATTTCATCCAGTCTCTCTTTTGTTTTGCAAAATGCAGCAAAGTACCCTTTTTTTTCTTACACTTTCTGCACTCAGCATCCCGTGCAGGGCAGCTGTTCAGTTGGTGTGATCTGCCACATCCTTTGTTTCCCTCACTGTGTCTCATACTGTCAGTTTTTCTCTGGGCTCCTTTTTGTACATGTTTTGTATTTCAACATGTCCATGTTTACCTCTTTTGTGTCCCCACTGGCTTGTCTTAATATTGTCTGCTGCTTTTTTATTTCTTCATTCTGTCTTATTTTTGTTACAGCTTTACTGAGTGTGAGCTCTGGGTCTAACTGTAATCTCTCTGACAGTCCATGATCACGTATTCCTATGACTAATCTGTCTCTTATAATTTCCTCCTGGAGAATTCCGTACTGACAATTCTCTGCTAGTTTGTAAACTGCAGTAATGAATGCTTCGGCAGTTTCACCGGGCTCTTGGCACCGGTTGTTGAATTTAGCCCTCTCATAAATCACCTTGTACTTGCATACAAAATGTTTCTCAAACGCATCCTTGACTTTACTGTAGTTGTTTCTTTCTTCATCTGTCAGAGGCAGCGTACTCATTATATCATCGGCTTTATCGCCCATTGTGTAAATAAGCAAGTTAACGTGATACTCCTGACTTCTCTCACTGATACCCGCAGCTATGCGGAATTGCTTGAATCTGCGAATCCATTTTGGCCAACTGCTAAAATCACTGAAGTCAAAGTTTTCAGGCGGGCTTATGGAGAACAATGTATCCATCTTAAGTGTTTACCTTGCTGTTATTCAGCATCAGGACTTTTTTTTTCTCCCGCCGTTTAGTTTGTTTTCTCCGAGCTCCCGTCTCTCTCTCAGCTCGGCGTTGCCATCTGATAAACTGGATTATAACTCGAGAAGTCTCTAAAGACAGATATGGTGTGGGCGACAGGCATCTCTCAGAAAGCGAGGTAGGTCTACTTCTGACACCATGTTATGATATTATATTAATCTCGCCAGGGAACTGACAGGAGAGCAATGTGTGCCATAGCAAGCAACTTTTCTGACTCAACTCTCCCCCTGCGCACCATGTACAATCATAGTACACACATCACATAGAAGTTTCTTAAAATATATTGACTAGATAATGACTAGAACAGCATGCACGCATCACACGGGGTACCTAAGAATTTCTTACACATTATGCATAAATGCAAATACACTACCATTCAAAAGTTTGGGGCCGGTAAAGTTTTTGAAAGAAGTCACTTATACTCACCAAGGCTGCATATATTTGATTAAATTCAGCACAAACAGTAATATTGAGAAATATCATTACAATTAAAATAAGGGGTTTCATTTTAAAATGTAATTTGTTCCTGTGATGACAAAGCTATTACTCTTCAGTGCCATAATTATTTTAATATGCTGGTATATGATCTGGTGTTCAAGAAACATTTCTTTGGATTCTTTGATTATTCTCTTTCAAAGAAAAAAAATATCTTACTGACCCCAAACTTTTGAACAGTGGTGTAAATCTGAGCAAAAAAAGGTTCCTCAGATGGGCGGAGAGTACAATACAGTGACACAGCCTGCCTGAGCACTGCAGGTGAGCCAAACTGAGTTAATTTATAAAATAATAGTGTTTGTGCAAAAACCCATTTAATTGGCACATTAAAGACAGTATATGATATCTTATAGTGATGTTAAGTAATGTCCATACACATAACAATCCCGTAGCCAAAAACCATCCCAAGTTCATTTCCATTCCTTGTATGGCAAACAGATCTCACTAAAAACTCAATCAATTATGAGCAAAACACACAGTTAATGAGAAAGCCACTGGTGGACTGCTAATGGAGAAATTTCTTTCCTTAAAAGAGGAACTGCATAAATTTCAAAAAGGCAAAAACAGATTTCAGCAAATTCAAAATTTGACATTAATCTATAAGTTATACTATTTTACGTAATTATAACAAATCCCACTTTTTGTTTTTAGCAATAGTATAGCTGTTTTTATGCATCTATCCACTGCTTTAACTACAGAAATATTGTGTGAATGAATTGTTATCTTTGTTACATTACAACGCCATAAATGTGAACTGAACACGCAGCAGTGTCTAACACATCTCGTGCCAATGTTTTAGAGGTGAAAAGTAGGGATGCACCGATACCACTTTTTCCAGTACTCGCCCGATACTGATACTTTTATTTTTGGTACTTGCCGATACCAAGTACCAATACCAATATTTTTATTGCATTTGTACATTTTTTAAATATTGGGTACAGAAACCAAAAGGGTATGTATAATGTTAGTTGGTTAACTTCATTTATCAAATAGATATATTCAGACACCTTCAACATTTCTCACATTATATTTGCTATAGTTTAGAAAATGGTAATAAAATATGACAAGAACTCAGAGTTACAATGTGTCAGAACAAATTCAGCTTGATAATGTTAGATCATTTTGATAGAAAGGTATGTAATGGATTACAATCAACCAAAATAATTCAGACAGCTGTTAGTATGACAGTATTTACACAACTATCAATACTTTGTCGGGCAGCCCTTAGCCTCAATGACAGCCTGTAGTCTCCTGGGCATGCTGTCACCCTGCTTCATGAAAACCTCAACTTCAGTTTATTTCCCAGACTCGGTCTGAATAATTTTTGGACCCAAATTTGTATCAATTTTACTGGTAGTCCACTGTATGCACATAATGTGTGGTATCGGCGTTTGGTATCGGGGGCATTTTATCGAGTACGAGTACAGGAGACCAGTATCGGGCCCAATACCGATACCAGTATCGTATCGGTGCATCCCTAGTGAAAAGTTCAAGGCTAGAGAGAACAACCATTAGATTTAGGGAAAGGGGTCAGTAGGTGTGACATTGAAGCTGGCATTAGCAAAAATGCCCAGTGTCCCAAGGGAGGTAAAAATCACAAAGATCCAGAGGAAGAGTCGATCAACCACCATGGCAACATACTGCCAGTCCTCCTTTAACTGAGAGGAAGACGGGGGAGAAAAAAAGAAGGAAAAAAAGTAGAGAAAGGGAAAACGAAAAGATGATTGGTAATGGCAAACAGTGAGAACAAAGGGAACAAAGATTTACAAAGCTCTGACACACAGACAGAAGTAGGAAAAGTAACCTATAATTCTGGCACAATTGGCTATAGTTATCATAAACCACTTACAGCCTCGTAATCTTTCTCCGCCTGCAGCTGCTCTGCGATGTAAGTGATGGCCTCTACAGCTGACTTGAGATCTGGAGGAAGGGCGAGGTAATGACTGGGGCCGTCAATGAACTTCCTCAGGTCGGTGCATGGACCATCAGGCTGGTACCTGCACCACAGGGAATGGAGGAAGAATATCACTGCACATTACAACACTGATTTTCGGAATTCAGAACATGCTTGGCATATGTGTACTGCCCAGAAACCTACTCTATACAAACATGCAAACGCTTATGAGAATGCTTAACCAATGCACTGCAAGCTCAAGGTCCCACTGAACATACTTATTGTACATACTTTAACTCAACGATAGTGATAGTTACCTTCAAATATTTGTACAAATAAACTAGAAATGCTCTGTTTCATATGAAACATATTCTTATGCCGTTAGCAACACCAAGGTCATGGGTTTGTTTACCAGGAAATGCATCAACTGAATAAACCTAAATGTTGAATGCAATGTAAGTTGCTTTGAATAAAAGCATCTGCCAAATGCAAAAATGTAATATAAAATATAACGTTATTGTTTGTGGTAAAACTTGTCCTCATACTAGTACACTGTATTTTTTTGAAAGTTGTAAATCAAACAAAGGTTACTAAAGTCTCAGTCTTTCTACTTCAAAATCTCAAGTTTAACTCAATGTGTTACTTTCCATTTCTTTGGAATTATTTGTGAAATTTGTTTCAAAGGAAATTATATACCAAATTTTTTACAGCATAACTTCTGTCATCATTTACTCACTTTCATGTCTTTCCAAACCTGTATGAGTTTCAGTTTTTACTGATTCTTATTATATGGAAAAAAATACAATGGAAGTTAATGGGAACCAAAACTGTTTGGCTATCAACATTCTTCACAACATCTGCTTTTGTGTTATGTAGAAAAAATACATTTATACAGGTTTAGAGACATGATGCAAAATTTTAATTTTTGGGTGGACTATAATTTTAAATATCCTTTTTTCAGAAGTTTAAAGTTAGCATGAAACAAAAGTTATGATCGTCTTTTCTTCGTCTCGAGGTTATTATCTCACCCTTGCACTTCTGAAAACATCATCGGAAAAGAGATGTCATTGAGGGGAAGGGGAACTTATTTTGGTTCAAAATTATGATGGCACAATAATTTAATGATATGCACAAACACTTTGTTTATGATAAACACTGCAATAATCCATAACAAAATAGGAATAGTCAATTTTGATACCATGGTGACTTTAGGAGTTAACCTCAGTAAATTTCTTGGACTGTATCAGGATGTTTTAAACACAGGCTGAAACCTCAAACAGCAAGTCTAAATCCGTGGTGGATCACATTACTTTGTCCTTGAGAAAAGGGTGCAAGCGTTTAAAGCCTTAGAATGCATTGGGCTGTGCGTGCGTGTGCACCCACATAATCCAAAATCAGAAAAAAGACTACTTCCCAAAACTCCTGTCAAGGTGACCCATCCAAATGTGTACCGCAGATCATATTCATTCACTCACCAATTAAAAATTTCACTCTTTCATTTACTGACTCACTCAATCATTCAGCCTCTCACCCAGTCATTCTCTTTTTCCAAATCACTGCTTTATGCTGATGGTGTCACCACCCACCCATGAAATCCTTCCAATGTGCTGATGAAATGCTTATCACCACTGATGTGTTGCATTCCTCTTTTGTGAATCTGTTCGCTAACATCTGTTTCATTATGAATCCCCTCTCTTTCTTGCTCTCCCACTGCCCCCTCTCTTTCTCTTCATCCATTTTTCAGATACGACACCTCCCCTTCCCACCACAAGGGGTCAGTGTGACTCTTCATTTTTTTCACAGCTCTCGTATATTCAGATGCTGGTACAGGAGTTCATTGCAGGTAGTCTGTGGTTCCCCAATGAGCTTCAGTGACCTGAGTGGAACCCCATTAGACTGAGACATACGTTAATGCCAGGCTGAGAGCACAGCGGATTGGGAGAAGCGGGCAAAGGAAAGCTTTAGCCCAGCTGAGGAGTGTGTGTTAAAACATGTGGGATGGATGGGGTTTTTTTTTCAACACTTACAGCCATAAGTTACCATCAGATGCATATTCAGAATGGCAAAGCTCCAATTTGTTTTACTGGTTTCTGCACAACTTTCAGAAGTCAGTGAATACAGTATTTTATCAGTCCTCCAGGGAAAAACATCACCAGGCTGCTAAAACGAGAACTTCCAAGGAAGAAATTAACACTGGATTTTACAAAGTTTGCAAGGTTCAAAGATACTCCGAGTATGTATGAGAGTACTATATGTCTGTGAAATAATTAAGAGTATTTTCAGACAAAGTCTAAATTAATTTTCTACAAATTATTATTATTTTTTAAAGTCAAATCGCAGAATCTGCAATGGCATTATTTGAATGCAAAATCACGCCGGTCTAATATT